AGAGTAAGGTACTTTGATCTGATAAAATAAGAGGTCTCTACACATATTCAGAGGTCCACCAGATTCACATAATATCACATATATGGGGATAGAAACCAAAAATAATCCATAGCCAATGTATTATCTTTTCGGAGACCAGATGTGATGGATGGGTCTCCACCCCCCCATCAGCTTGTGCACCCTCGCCCAAGCGAAATCTTTCTCAATAGGACCCCTCACACACATCTGTGGCGGTGCAGGCCAGCCACCCTCTCACAGCGCGTTCCCCGGACGCTTCCCCTATATCAGCCCCCTCTCTTCTTATGGGGGTAGGGCTGGCTGGCCCACTGCCCATAGCCCCTCTCCATGGTCGGCCCCCCACCCCAATCGGGAGCGGGGCCCGCCAGCCAATTGCCCATGGCCCCTCTCCCCAGCCAGCCTGGCTCTGATCTGGGCAGGCTGGCCAGCCAACCTCCCACCATCTCCTCCTACCAACAGGCCCGGCCCCAATCCGCCCTAATTGGGACCGGGCCAGCCGGACCCCACCTGTCACCTGTGCACGAATTCATGCACTGGGCCTCTAGTATATATATATATATATAAGCCTAACTGACTGCCCGACCATTTGACTGTCCTGTCCGACCGGTAGCTATGACGCACAATAACCACCAGGGGGCAGACGCTCAACATAGGAGCTGCGGTGACTTGGCAGCTGCAGTTCTCGGGTGATACACCTGGAACCAGAGAGGAGGGAGCCCGATTCCAGGGTGCATCACCTGAGAACCGCCCTCTCAGGATCCAGGACCCCTTGGGGGATGTCAGAGAGCCTGTTGCCCGGATCCCTGCAGGCCAGGCCGAGGGACCCCACCTGCTGTAAGGACCCCGCTCACTCTGCAGACATCCTTCAAGCCCAGCGCCACCCTAGGTGCGGCCAGCTGGGGAGGGACCGCAGGAGGTTGGCTCCAGGGTGTGTCTGACCATCTCGCCCAGTCCTGCCCCGCCAGCCACCTTCTAAGTAATTTCCTTTCAATGTGCACACATCCCTGCACCAGGCCTCTAGGAATAAATACTTGTTGAAATAGTATTTGTAGGATGCTGAAAACCTACTAAACCACAGTCATTTGGGATAAGAGAATCATTCTTGTTGAGTTTTTATCTCCTATATGTTTTTTCAACCTCTATAATGCTATATATAGCATGTTTTATGTTAAAGGTTATCTCTTTAGCAATGTAATCCATATAAAAATTAAAAGTTAATTATTATTTTTGCCTTGCTTCTTAAATCTATTTTTAATACCATGCCTTCCCATACCAATTAAACATCTCTTTTCTTAGATGGAGGCCAAAGTAAAGGGGACACTAAATTGCCACGGAAATCTCAGTGACTTCCCAACAAGCAAAGGAGATGAGACACTCAGCTGGCTGATGGAATCTACCTGATGGGAAAGTACTCATGTGGTCATAGGGCTGCTGTTCTGTCGATGTTTACATTCTCTCGTCCCAAGCACTGTGGTGAGGAGGAAAAAGGAAAGAAAACATTACTTGATGTAAAGCCAGGTGCAGGAGGAAGAAATGCTTTCTTGCAAAGTTAGTGACCTTTGGTCTCTTCTAAAGAAAGACAAAGTTACCATATTAACTGAATTAAAAGAGACTCAGTTGTCAAACCCACAGAAGTACAAATTTGTTTTTTCCCCCTGAGGGAGGAAGAAGAAAAATTTGAGGATTTGGGTAAACTCCATCCATCCTGGGGGTTGGATCTGAACATGTATAGTCATAAATGCATAATAAAAGGCAATACATCTGGAATTAGGTCAGTTTGTCAGGAGTAAGGATCACGTCTATTTGAGTGGACTGTGGAGCAAATTTGCCATACAAAAAAAATAATGACTTTATGTCTGATACAGACCGTAGAAAATACTATACCCTCAAAAATCCTGAACAAACTTGAATCTTCCCCGGTGTGTAGCAACTCCCCATGTGAATCAGTGGACTAGAGATGCTTCAGGAAAGTTATTTTAGCACAGTAATATGTATTATTAAATCATCGAGATTTTTAAAAGTCACGAAATTGAGCCTGTTGCTCTTAACAGACGAAACTTAGATGTCCCCTTTTTATAAAAGGGTCAATTTCATCTTCCTTTCAGAAGCAGGTACTTAACTCTCTTCTTCAGGTGATTTGTGCATCTGGTATTGACATTAATTCTTATTTCCATTCTTGAGAAATGGGGATCTTTGCTGTAGGGCTGCGGCTTTGATGCTCTTAGCCCTTGCAGGTCTACACTATGAACTAATTTCTCCCAACTTCACCTCAGTTCACAACTTCTGTTCTGTTAGCTAAGTGGTACTTCAGGTGACTATTAAATATTGATATAAACAGCTATAAGTGTGTACTACACATGCTTCTACATTGGTCATTCAAATAGCATATATATATATTTTTGGAATTTTCAAGATAGTATTTTAAAGGGAGAAATTACATTCAAATCATGTGTGTACAAGGGATTATTTTTTATAAAAATCACAGTGTATTTTTACTCCCTATATCCAGTGTAGTGAAATTGATTTGGATCATTTCCTAATATTGACTCAGAATATTGACATGTGAGTAAATCTGCAGATAGTAAGACTCTGTACTTATCATGACGTCCTTATGCAAATAACATTCAACAGAGGACATTAAGGGAGAAATTTACGGCTTTGTTTGGATACTTTTTTTTTACACCTCATCATTCTAGCCTTTCTTTTCTTTCTCTCTTTTTTTCCTTCCTGTTTAGGCTTCTAAATGTTTCAGAGTGTACCCAAGAATGGTGTAAGCTTGGTCCATTTTTAATGATAGACTAACCTAAAGAGCAGCATCAGATTGATAGACGCAACATTGCTTGTGTATGTTTTCATCACACATCACCCTATACTGTTAGGTTTATTCAAATAAGAGTATTAACCAGGCCCTTTTTCTCCTTTTATAAGAAAAAGTCCCAAATAGCCGGTAGGACTGTGAATAAATTACTGCAGATCTGTTCAGATCTGTAGACCTATATTTGAATTCAAAGTCACATTGGCTGGCTTCACAGCAAAAAGTTAATAAGTAACTGAAAACTTTAGTTCCAAGAACTTGTTACAGTAAGAGCAAAAGATTATTTCAAAGGAATCATTGATATAATTACTTGCATCTCAGAATTTAGATTACCAATAAAACAAATCTGAATATTGCATCAGCCCTGATAGATATTTTGGGAGGATATTGGGATGTTGCAGAGAGGTTTGACTTGAATTGAGTATGTTTGATTACAATTTGTTTTTCTAATTAGGCAAGCTTACCCAATTCTTGAGTTATCCCAATGTAGCATACCTCTTTTATCTAAGTTTTATCTAATTTGGGGGGGGAAACGTCTTTGCTAATGCTATGTAGGAGTTTTCCTTTGGGAAGCTAGCCTTTGTTTTACTTCCCATACCAGGAGGGAAGTCAGAGTGCATGTTAATCTCTTCCTGCTGATAATTGTGCATGTACTTGTGTGTGTGTGTGTGTGTGTGTGTGTGTGTGTGTGCGCGCGCGCGCATATATTTATTCATATATAACTTCATTACTATTTTAAGTCAAGAAATAATAATTTTAATTTCTTAATAACTCCATCATCAGTTCTGAATTATACCTTGTGAGGATTCCGTGGTGATTCTGCTGTCATTGGAGAAAAAGAGGATGATCAGTTCTTCCCCCAGTATCATTTTATAACTAACCATTAAAAGTAATCTGAAGGCCCTGACCGGTTTGGCTCAGTGGATAGAGCGTCGGCCTGCGGACTCAAGGGTCCCAGGTTCGATTCGGGTCAAGGGCATGTACCTTGGTTGCGGTCACATCCCCCAGTAGGGGGTGTGCGGGAGGCAGCTGATCGATGTTTCTCTCTCATCGATGTTTCTAACTCTCTATCCTTCTCCCTTCCTCTCTGTAAAAAATCAATAAAATATATTTTTTTTAAAAAAGTAATCTGAAGGCCCTTGGCTCTGAGAAGTCCGCATATATGGAGATTATGTTCTGTTCTCTTCAGTCTTGGTACCTTGGGAACTGCTGCCAGACCCAACCTCCACCTCCTCTCCTTCTCCCTCCCCCCCATTTTCACTAACATATATCCATTTCAGTCAAGACTACCCTTTTTTTATGTTAAACAAGTGAAACAAACATCCTTATATTTCTTAATAGATAAGTATGATCAGCGAATTTCTACATGTAAATACAAAACTATTTCTTTTCTAGATCATAACATTAAAAATGATGTCCATATTTATGGTCAGCTATCTTTACAGTTTTCTTACTTAAAAACAAACATATAAATTGGTTATTTTTAGGACAGAGACTTGTGACTCATAGTATATTTTTGCATTTATTTTTTAAAATGGTAAGTTATTAAAAAGGATATAGAGCAGTGTGTATCTCTGAAGAGCGTTAATAACATCCCAATGCAAAAATAATCAGCACACTTAATTACATCCCATTCAGTGGGATTCTTGAATCAGGAAAATTAAGCTGTTTGTTTTCAATTGTCTTATATTTTAAATTGCCTTCACTGATGTATAAGCTATTACTGTACATACAAATTAATCCTCAGTATTCACAAGCAATAATGGTCGGCAGAGTTGTCTTCAGAGATAGCAGTGCTGAGCCCCCGTTGGAGACTGTTTGGGAGCAAAGTGTTAAGCTCATTCAGAGCCTCCAAAGTCAATGCAAGCAATAATTCCATTACAAGTCGATTATAATTCTTTCTCCTGTGATTCTGAAATTGAAGGGTAAGAGAAATCATGGTTTTAAAACAGCCTGAAGAAAAGGTTTTGGGAAAAGAAGTGAGGTTAATCTGAAGTCACAAAGTCCTGATGGTGTATTAGTACATTCTTTCATGCCTACTCCCCCTTTGATGGATGTTGTTAGCCCAAATAACATTTTATATCATAGAAGTTGAATAGGGTTATTGTATTGCCAAGATAGGAGGAAGATTGGGGCACATACATGTTTAAATACTGTGGGTTTGACACCTGTTTGAAAACAACTTAATGAATAAGCGTTTTAACCCAGAATTTTTTTTTCTCCCAAAGCAGATCTAAATTGTTTACTACCCAGGGTTGGAAAGGGCAGACACCTCTAGTCTTGCTTCTCTGGTTGCCCTCTACCACACCCCTTTCCAGCTCTACTTGGTTCAAGACATTTTCTGAAATGGAAATTCTACTGTTTTTCAAACTGCCATTGATTGTGAGAACTCTATGTCCCTTGGGATCACCTCTTAGAACTCCAGTTCTCTATCATGTTTGCTGCTACATTTGTAGAATGAACTTTGCCTGTATTGATCGACTTTAACCTAATTTACAGTTCTTTATTTCTAGAAGGTTTTGTCCTATCATTTGACCCATGTATAGAATTAGGATACTTTATTTCAAGAGTATACCATAAAAGAATACTGGTCCCTGTATTTTTATCTTCACTTAGGCTTTGAATTTGAGTTTGCTTGTTTTGTTTTGTTTTGTTTTAAATTAGAAGAAGAGTGATAATACCTATAATCAGGCCAAACTCAAAAAGTTCCCTGTGCTTCAGCACTGTAGTTTCTGCTGACCTTCCGTTCTCAGATGGGGCACTTTTACTTTATGTTGTGCATGTATGATTGTGTTTGTTTTGTTTTGTTATTTTTTGCTTTTGGGGGCTTTTGTTTTTGTAATAATGAAGCAGAAGAAAAATGCAGTAGTAGGTAAATGACTGGTTACAAACATGTTATGCAATTTTATTTTATAAAATCTAAGGGGAAAAGTTTAACTCTCTGTAAATCATTTCTTAGCTCTGGTAAAATGCTTATATTGCTCCTCTAAAACATGCTCAATTCAGGCCTTTCTCTTTTTTAAGTGCCTTTTTTTCTCTCCCCCCCTCCCCCCCCCTTCAAACTGTTCTCATATACCCTGAAGTACAGGCTAATAAGTCAGGGGATTCAGGAGGAAGAATCTCAAACTTGCCAACTTCATGTCATGCTGTAATGTTCTTCCTTTTCTTTATATGTATATGGATATATGTATAAGATACATACATACATATATATGTGTATATATATATGTATACATATGTAATATATATATAAAACTAGTAGCTGCTGTACCATTGCATCCTTTCTGAACACTTCCTGTCAGTGTTTGCAAGGCTTCTGCCTGTTTATTCCACTGCTTTTAATCAATTCAAATGGATGAACTGGGAAATTGTCTTTCCCCCTATGAGTATCTGTTTGTGTGCGTGTGTGTGTGCGTGTATACATACATACATATATAAAATAAGTAGTTATTACAAGTAAAATAAATTTAGCCAACTCATTGACTATTCCTGGATTTAACCCATTGCTCTATGCCCTTCAAACTTGGCATGAGTAATACTGGAGAAAGCATTGGAGTAACAAGTCTTTTGTGGGTCAAGTCAATAAGGTGCACTATGGCAGGCAAACAGCCATGGGGGAGCTAGAGTTAGAATCATGATATTGTATTTGAATAAGTTTTCAAGGAAGTTAGCAACTTTGTCAACATTGAAATTGCATCATACTGTCTTTGGGGAAATTCTTTTCGGAGAATTCATATAGCTATTTTGCATATCTGTCAAAGGTTAATAAATTTAGAAGTAGAAGGACTTCAGGTGCCAGGGAAAACACTCATATAACCTATAGCATTATTGAAAGAGCTTCAGTTTTCATTTGCCAGATAATTACATTTGGCTTAATCTGCTTTTATGGTTATTTAAATCCCTCCCTTGAGCCAAATAACATAATTTTCGGCATCCAAGATTCATTTGTTTT